TGGTAGCCGTTGGTTACGTATTGCTCTAGCGGGAGCGAGGAACGCGGATACCTCAGGACGGATTGAATGCCCGGCCTCAGGGTGACGGAGAAATCGCGAGGCGAATGGTGGATCCATCCCTGGACGTGTTTGCCAGCCGAAGGCTCGAACATAAGGCGCCAGAACCCATCGAGGCAGCACGTGCACGTATTCAGCCGGCTCCGGGCTTGAGATAAGATAAGCACGGAAACGCAATCCTGATCGATAAAGATCAAACCGTATTACGCTGCGCAAAGGATCGTCGCGGTACACACGGCATTGCCCCGACCGACTTGCTTGACAGGCGAGTTCGACGGGCCTGAACGCGGGTTAACCTTGCCATCGGACCAAGTGCCCCATGCAGGTCAGACGCTAACTAGCGCCTCGATGCCCGGGAATGTCTGCCCGAGGCGGACCGCGTGGACTCACGGACTCACGCTCCGCACCTGGGAAGGCACATGAGAAGGACTCGTGGTATGTGGGAGACGCCTAGTGAAGGGTGACGTCAGGCGATAATCCGTCGGGCTCTGGACGGCGGTCCTTATGGCGCGCCAGGTGGTGGCGCCCGGTGACCCGGGCAACTCGGGATTACTGCCGGAAGAACCCTTCCGCGAGTTACAGGCAAACAGGTTGAGGTGTCTCAGGGCACCTTGGAAAGAACTGGCTGACCCTGCATGAAAGAGTCTGCCTTCCTATTCACGCAGTTACGCGCATTTTTTACTGTATTATACCAATATACTTATATTTTTAAAATAATGAAAAATAATGATAAATTTATTTTGTACCGTATGATTGCATGACATAGTGTAAGAATATACTTAATAATTGTTTAACAGTCATCCTTCTAAATCCAATCCAGTGATTTGCTTATCACATGCATTTTCATTTGTTGATAAATAATTTCATTGTATAAAGGGTTATAGTAGTAGAAAGTCAAATAAGGAGATCACCATATTTTTTTACAAATACCATCTGTGTGAAAAAGCATAGTGGACTCCGTGACTGATGTTCTCTTATTGTTCCTCTTAATGTAATATAACAAAAACTTTAGCCACAGCAACGCGTGGCCGGGTCAGCTAGTATATATATATATATATTAGATTAACTTTCTGACACATTGAAAACCAGGAATTGGGACTTTATACATTTACATATTTGTTTAAGAAATAGATAGAAGAAATTGGATTCGATTCATATTTTTTTTTTCTATACTTATAAGGGCGTCAAATTCAAAATTGATATTTTATTATGCATATGTATGCGTATTAAATCCCGAGCCCTGCTCGATAAAACTGATGAATTACATTTGGAATTTAATGTACATCAAGTGGTTACCTACTTATTCTATAATTTTCATGAAATAATTTTTAATTCAATATTATGTTTACTTATATTATATGTTTAATATTGGAAACAAAATAACAGACAATTTAAAAGTAGTCGGGTTTGCTTGTAAGTACCTATACTAATTTATAGTAACAAAAATAAGTGTTATCAAATCAATTTTTGTTATTTTTATTATATATTAATCATATTAAATAGGTGTAACTATTTTATAATTATTACCATGTCTGAGAATTAAAAACTATGAAAAGCTTCAAAAATTCTTTTAAAATTTCTAAAATACAATAAAATATGCAATTAAAATAATAAAAGTGTAGTACCCTCGCAAACATCGAAAAGGTACTAAACGACGATAATCTACTAAGATTATTAATTAACCAATTTAATCTGGAAATTCGTGAATGATAAACTGATATTATCTCACAAATAAATAACAATATTGCCTTATTTTATCGAATCGTTAACTATAAGCCGCATACAGCTTGTGTAAAAAATAAATTTGACGTTCATAGAGCCCGTGGAAAATAAAAAATATGTTCTCAATAACAATTGACAGAATTTGATTAAAAATTCACTTAAATAAAAATATGATCCAAAATTTTTAAAACGTCGAAAAATTCAAATGAAAAGTTTCATAAATAGATGTTTTGTTATATAATTAAAATTTACAATCAGTTAAAAAAATAAAATTTCTAAAAATTCCAAAACCTAATTATTACATATTATGTGTATTCAATTTATGTTTTTTTTTGTTTAATTTGTTTTATTTTACAATCTGTAAATATATTATTTTTAAATTAAGCATAATTGTTGTTAAAAAAATATAAAAATAAAATTAAAATAAAGTAAAGTAAAGAGGGACTGGTGACTTGAACGAAAAATCATTCCAGTGATGGGACTTCTTGCAAAATATGTTAAAATTAAAATTGTGCAATACATAAATCTGCGTATAATTCGAGGGTGTAATAAGCATCTGATGTATTTATATATTTATGTAGATAACATGACATTTATAAATTACGCTTTTGCAATGATGTTTAGTAAGTAATTTAGTGAGGTTACAATTTATATCTTTAAAATATTTCTGATGCCTACGCTTAAAATAAATATTAAAACATATAATATACTGTTACACCCTATACAGTGTATATCGTAAATCTATATAATAAATGAATACAATTTAACATTTTTTTTTTTTTCTATTCATTTTTTGGTAACTCATATTTGTGGATAATAATTATGAAATATTAGTAACTACTAATTTGGGATTCAAAAAATTTGATGAAGCTGTATCACAAAGGTTAACCGAAGATATATCAAATGAGGTAAGTTTTGTAAATTTATTTAAAATGTTATACTCATCAATTAAACTGTCTTGTTTAAATCTAAACTATATATATAATTTTTTGTTTTTAGTTTTTATGATAAAAAATCAAACAAACAGTCATTATAGTTCTTTTAATATCTACATAAATACTTAATGTTTATAAAACGAAATTAATAATTATAAGAAATAATCTACACTCAATCCACATTAAATCAAAACTTTCAAAATGTAATATTATAAATTATTTATTTGAAAACCTTAGAAACTAATTGGCATATTAAAAAACTAACGCTAGCATAGTATTGATTATTTTTTAAAACTTTGTAAATGAGAATGAGAACAATAATATTATAATAAATCAATTATAATTTTCAAAGCAATTTCAATATTTTTTTCTTCAAAATATTTCTTTAAAATACGGATGATATTTACCATAATTTAAGTATAGTTCTATAAATTGTTTATTTACATCTGTCTTAACGTTTATTTTTATTTATAAACATTCCTTCGACTAACCAATTATAAAAATGATACCTGATAACGATATCATAATTGATTTTATTATTCAGTATGTCAATAATTTACTCCAATTATTAGACGATAAAATAAAAAAAAAAAAACGCTTTAGATGTTACCTTATTGAATTTAAATACTTACTGTATATAACCATTGCAAGTAAGACACTAGAAAAACAAGGTATTAATCATTATCGATTATCAACAAGTTTCACACAATGAAAGTTAAACAAAAGAAGATGTTGTTAACTTTAGATAGGTATTTGAATAATTAGTAACAAACAGAATTTAACTCACATTCTGCTTTTTGTAGTTCAGTATTTTTTTTTTGTTTTTTGAAATTATGCAATGATGATTATGGAGAAAATCTTCATTTTTTTCAATTTCATGGAATTTTATTGCTAAAATTACAAATCAAAGATTTATTGTGTTTTATTTTGTTTCCAGCAAAGAATAAAGTATGGTGAATCACTGATGGATGATAATATGATTCGTAGTATGTTATTTAATGCATTTTGATACCTAATCGCTATAGACAATTATCTTTTATATTATGTCATAACCAAAGTTTTAAATTATTCAATTAATCAGGGTTTTGTTGGTTAAAAAAACCTGTTGCTTGTTACAACTATCGACTGTTTACCCAAAGTACATTCAGGCAAACATTTTTAATATCTTATTATAATGTTATATAGACGATATAATTAGGAAATTTTAAAAATATTTTATTGCTGTTATATATTCACAAATTATTGTAATAAGCAAGTTTGAGTGTAATAGTTAATTAATGATAGCCAGATAATTTTGTCTAGATAACGGGAATCCTAATTTTATTTTTGTCATTGATGAAAACATTTGTATTGTATTATTATCACGTAGAATTTGACACATATTTTTAAAAATACTGTTAAAAATAAGGAAACTAATATATAGATTATAACTATTTATAATATTTACAATTTTTGACAGAATATATACACGCGTACTACTATGAATGTAAAAGTTTTAAACCTAGGCGTATGTATTATTCTTAAAATGTTTCAGTTTTTATAAGTGTTTATTAATTATAAAAATTGTTTTAAACGTGTTGAACTTTTATGATTTATTTTTTATTTTTATTATGTATCAAGTGAATAAGGATCAAATATCACAGTTTTTTTATTCATTTATTACAGCTCCCGTGTTAATTCCAAGAGAATTTTGTATAGAACAAAGTGAGTAAAAGTATAAACATGTACATAAAATAAATTCAAACTGTTTTAGTATACATTTTCCATCCTACGTTTTATACCAAAAAAAAGGTATGAGTTTATCAAACATAAACAATATGCGCAGTAGTGGAAAGTTCTACGGTTTATACTTTTAACAAAAAAAAAATAAATAAGAATCGTTAAATGAATGAGAGCTGTTTTTATTTAAATATCAAATGTTGTCAAAATATACGAACTTAAACTTTATAGCGGAAAATTATGAGTTTTGGACGAATATCGAATTTGTAAATTTGTGAGTTGGTTATATATTTAAAATAAAATACAGTAATATTATTGAGTTTGTATTGGATATTATAGCTTTTAGTTTTTGAATATCCTATAATAAGATAAAAATAATAAGAATATTTATACGAGTACAACATCAATTTTTAAAACTAAATCAATGTTTATTGTTCAAGATTAATATCATTGACGTCAGTATAGTGTGACGTAAACATTTTAACATGTTTATTTATGCTCAGTCATTGAACTACATTGAAAATATACGTATTTTATGTTCAGTTAATATAACAATAATTATTTGTCTTTTATCTGTCTCAATCATTAAGTGCCATTTTTTTGAGAATACCTTATATTTTATTAGGGACTTAAATTATTAGATTTTGACGTGGTTTTTCAAGTACCTAACTATCGTTAAAAAAAATATAAAAATAAAACACCTTAAAAATATTAAATGTGGCATGTACAGCCTGATTTAAAGAATGGATCGACTTCTTCAACGACATGTCTTTAAAAGTAACAGATATAAAAATACAAAATCATAGGTAAAAGTAACTTTTATTATTTAATTTAATTAAAACTCTTAAATATCTGTATACAACACTTTTATTTTTTGGAACGAATTTAATCGTTTTTTTTTTTTAATTTATAACAGATCTACTAGAAACTAATGAAATTCCTGAATTAATAATGGTTTTACAACATACTTAAAATAATCACCTGCCAATATAGTATATACTAATGGATAAAGGAAATACTATGGTTATTAATTTTAGTTAATTGTTAATTATGGCTCTAAAATTAAATAAGTACTGCATAATGTGTATTTTGCTAGATTAATTGTATTTAAATAATATGAATTTTTTGCACCAACGTCTCTGACCACCGATTCTTCGGCGACCGTTTCTACTTTTATTTTTATTTCGCAACCGTCGTCCGGTACATTTGTCGGCGTGACGCTGTGCGTATCTTTTAATACCACGTGATTTTTGTGCACCACGTGCTAATATTTTCTGTGTGCGAGTTTGAGATGTCTACACTACCCGTCGTATTTTAAGTCTACACGTATCTGTTCTTAGTCAATGACATACGATTACGTAAAACGTTGTGCGTCCAGCGTTTAAAATTTACATCAAATTAACGTCGTGGTGAGTTCAACGACCTGAAATCATGATATTTTATCCGTGTTCCTCGCCGTATTCGACCGTTAATTGTATCTACTGTCATCGTCATTATATATATTTATATATATTAATGTATTATTATTTATTATTATTTATTTATATCATATTTCCATATTGTATTTCTTTTGTGTATTTTATATGTATATCATTCTTTTATTATTATTATTCCGATATTGTCCAAAGAGACGTCTTTGTATAAATTCGTTACATATTGTACTATAATATACTGATAAAATAATTAGTAATTTACTGTATCTATTACTAAATAATGTAATACATATTCCCATACATCACGCGAGTCGTCTAACAAAATGCTCCAACAAGTACTGATGGCGTAAACAAATTAAATGTGAATTTTAATATTATTCGTACATGCTATAATTTTTGTTATATCTGTTATTTACTACATAATGTAGATACATGTATACCATTTTGTAAATTGAGTTTTTCTGTTAAAAAAGAAATAATAATAATAATAATAATAATAATAATAATAATAATGAGTGAATATGATAAGTGTCCACTTTAAAGTATATAATAATTAATATTATATTTATTGTAATAATTTTACTGTGTTTCATACATATTATAAAATTTAATTTCTTGATGGGCACGCTCAAAACTTAAAGTTTGCTTGCATTTAAGCAATAGTATATTAACAATGTAAATATTGATTAGACATTGACGTAAATAGTTAAATAGATAATAAATATTCGAGCTAATGTTAGAATATAATAAATTACGTAATAAAAACAGCTTAAAACAGAAACAAAAATGATAACAGAAACCAGAATATTATAAACTCATCACTAGAGCACGGATGTTGTAGTAGTAAAAAAAACTACTAAAATTGATTGCATTATTGCACTAAAAAACACCGAAAATTGCACTTAAAATATTAAAAATTGCACTAAAAATTACAGCGTTTCGTTATAAATTATAGATGTTTTATTTTAATTCTGCCAAAAAAATATATTTTTAACATTTTATAATAATAATTATTAATTAATAATCTATGCGTATTCTAAACATATTAAATATTTTAAATTTTAAACCTTATTGCATTGGACTATAAGTGTTTGTTTTAAATTTTCGAATTCGAACGCTCTTTGATTTGGAGCCTATAAGTTTTTATATCTTGAAAAAACTTCGTTCTACGTCGGTTGATGTAAGCGGAGCGTATTTAAAATAAGCTATATCGTTTATTGTCAAGTCTTCTGGTAAACCATCGAAACATTTTCCTTGTCCAGTGAGTATATCATTTATTTTAATAATAGTTTCAAATCCGGTATTCTTTTCAATAACTTTCTTGAATTTTTCATGGACTGAAATTCCTATTTCACAAAATATATTTTCTAATTTATTTTGAACATTTTTAATTATTCCAATAGCTTCAACTATTGGAAGTCCTTGATTTTCTAATTTTGAAATCGCGTCCGGCAGAAATCCGTAGTTCGAGTGAATAAATATTAAATCGGCCGAAGTTGAAATCTGGGTAAAAGTATTTTGTGAAACTTTAATTGAAACAGCTTCGTCAGGATCAAGTTCTTGCACAACACTTTTTACCTCATTAAAATATTTACAATAGTTTGATGCAGCCTCAAGCCATGTACCCCTGCGTGTGATAATAGGTTGTGGTGGTAATGGTGTATCTGGTACTTTATTTTTAAAAAGAATAATTCGGCTTGGTGCTTTTAAAAATATTTGTTTAATTTTAGCAATGAGTTTATCTATTTCTGGAAATTTTCCTCGTATGTCTTCTGCAACTCGATGTATACCATGGGCTAAGCAGGTGACATGGATCATTTTTGAATACAGTGCTTTAATTGTAGTCCCTGCTTTTATCATATATGGAGCTGCATCACTAAGAAACAGAAGGACGTCGTCGTGACGAATGCCATCGGGCCAAAGAAGGAATAATTTTGTTATTGTTGAATAATTTGCTTTATCGAGAATTTCTGTATTTAATAAATACACTTTTCCTGGTTGGTCTGTTTGAAGTGTTCCAATCACAACGTTAGCCACATATCTTCCATTAACATCTGTGGACTCATCAATTGAGACCCAAATTTTATTTCCCTTTATTATATTGTTTCTTATTTTATTTAAAGTGTTGGAGTACACCTCATCTACGTAATTTTTGCGTAACGTAGATTCACTCGGAATGTCTCTATTCGAATATGTTTCTAAAAATAAACAAAATTCTGAGTTATTAATTTTATGTAACGGAATATTGGCGGATAACATGGCCTTACACAAGTCTTTAGAAAATTATGATTTTTTTGTAAATGTTGTTACCTGAAGTTGCGATATAGACGTTTTAGTGGTATTTTGTTGATTAACCACCCGTTGGTGCTTTGTAGTTTCAATATGGTGTGTAACTGTATACCTCCGTTCAGCATTTACTTTTGTTTCGCACAATTTACAAAAAAGTACTGATTCATCACATGAAAACACATTCTCACCAAATTCTATAACGTATTTTTTGAAAACAGTGGAATTAGTTGGCCTTATTTTCGGCATATTTACAGAACAGTAACAGAACACGATATATCAAAATTCACGGAGTGACTGAAGAACAGATAAGAAAAGTCAAACAGTCACATTTTACAAAATTATTATCTTCATATTATCGGAATAAAGATAATAAAAAGTAATAAAGTAATAATTTATCACTATATACTGGAGATATTTAAGTATTATCTTATCTATACGACTGTTGAGTTTCGAATATAGCTAAAATAGTTGTAAAAATGATTAAATTCAACAAAATTCCAATAAAATTCCAAAAATTCCGAAAATTGCACTTAAAACTTTTAGATTTGAATTTGTACCTACATGAAACGTATTTAAAACTTACTTAGCAATAAATAATTGGAAAGGTAGAAGAAAAGTTGCAAATGCAACAACATCCGTGTCCTACTCATTACTAAAGCTAAGTTTTTAATGACTTAAAAATAAATAAAAATTCACTATAAAAATATGCAAAATGGTCAAAAATTCAAAATTAGAGAATTTTATTTTAAAATTATAAATATGATAAATTGTTAATTATTTTTTATTCATTTTTATATTACATAAAACAGGTAATAATTTGTTTAAAAAGATAATTAAACTAATATAGGTACTCAAATTTGAGTTGACTTGTTAGTTCATCCGATTCCTGATAAAATTATTCGGAAAAATCAATAAAATTATGAATTCAAATAGTTGAATGAATGATATATTATATTTATTTTCATCTGTACACATAATATTGCATTACACAATTTGATGGTTCTTAAGATTTTCAAACAGGAAACTGCGTCGGTGATCTGATAAATTGTTTTTATATGAGGAGAAACTTTGTACTTCGGCTTTCTACTGTTGACTTAGTTTTTGGCATTTTAAAGATTTTTAAAGTTGAATATCTTTTTATTATTAGTCGTAATATTATGTGTTCAGTATCGGTGTAGAACATCATAATTAAGTGTCATATTCTGGTTTTCACTACTAAAGCTTTCATAATATGTCTATAACGCCTTTACACACTAGGCGAATAGTTCACTCGTGGATGCGATTTTGAATGATCGCCTAAAATTAAACTTGTGCGATCGATCGTGTATTTTATTCACTCGCCTTATCGGTAGTATGAATGGTCAAATGTAATTGAAGCTGTTTAATTTGAAACGAATGTTCGCGGCGATGTAAAATCTCTTCCGCGCACAAACTATGTTTGATATTTCATCTTATCAAATAAATTGACAATTAATTATAATATTATATTTTTATCAATGGATTGGTGTTGATAATAGGGATTACCTTATATGTACAACACATATTAAAAAAAAAAAACTAAAAATAAATAAAAATGAGTTAAAATACACAAAATTAACGTAAATTTTGTAAAAATTATCTATTAAATACAACTGTATTTAACATATTAAAATACAAAATAAAAATTACACATTATAAAAATTTGTTATACAATGACACCAATTAAATTTCTGTTTAAAACTGCATATCACATTAAGAAAAAAATGCAAGTCTTCAAAATCCTTGTTCTACACATCACAAATTAAATGTTTTTAGATTTTCTTACTATTCCTATGATTGTGAACTTATTAAATCAATAAAATGTATACCCTTTACTCATCCATTATTGGTCATTTACTTAGCGTTGGATTATTTTTATTTTTATTTTTAAATACTTTAAATTATTATACATAAACTTTCCGGTGCTACGTTTGATTTATCATGAAGTGAATTAATAATAAAACTAATTTATATTTTTAAAATATATCAAATATTTAGCTAAATATTTAAATTAATTAATTTCTATACTTTAGTTAATTTTTATTCTAAAATCAATTATAGCGTAAGAACTATTATAAAATAACACTAACATTCATTTAATATATTTTTAAAGTGAGAGAACGAAAGTGTATAAGTACGTATGTATTATTATATTACATTTATTTTTAATCGTAATACATGTTTAAAATTATCTATTAATTTTAAAATGTTATTTATTATTATGACTTGTATTTACTAACTATTAATGTTAAGTTTTATGAAACATTAAATAAAAAAATACATTACAAATTTATCATTAAAAATAATTTGTAACAAAAAACAATTTTAATTACTTTATTGTATATGTTTTATAGAGAAACTCGTGGCGTATTTATGTAAGTTCACACATTTGTTTATCACTACAGTCATATTTTTACTCACATAAAAATATACTTTACTTAATATCTAATTCTTCTATTATAATTTTAAATCCATTGAAACCCCTAAAATTATACAAATCTTTTACGATAGGAGTTGTGTATACATTTTAAAATATAACTTTTTTATAAGATATTAAACAGTTATAAATAAAGAATTATTTAAATAATATTATGTTCTTGCTATGTTTAATTCGGTATTTTTATTGTCAACTCCATCATTGGGCAAATATAAATTTCTTGTACCTTAGTAGATTCATAATTAAATAAAAAAGTGGTAAATGATTTTGTTTTCGATGAGAAGTGTTTTTATATTTGAAGTAATTGATGAATATTTCATAAATTAAGAATTTCATGAATTTTTCTATTTTTAATATAACTAGGTGTGTAACCAATAAACATCAGTCATAAATATGTATTTTTTTTTTAATCTTGTAACATATAATCTAAAAAACTATTCAGGACTCTAAGAAAAATTTCAATCACAAACCATTTATCATAATTTTAATTAATAACTATTTATATGTATATAATATGTAATTATGATTTACTTTTATACTTTCGTAAAGGGTAAAAGTAAATTCATAATAGTATTGACTATTTTATTTTGTTTAAAATTTAAAAAAAATATGTAATATAAAGCTATTTGGTCAAATTTAAAGAATATAATGATAACTTCATTAAACATAACCTTGACGTTAGAATATTCATAATAAGATCTAAAATTGATTTTGATCTAAATCTACTTTTTAAAGTTTACTTGATTTGACTTATAATTAATTATACTCAATTAAATCACTACAACATCTGCAAATAAGACTTCTTACAACAGTCTCTGACCGTCTAATATTTAATAATGGTAATATAACTATCGATTACCAACTTAAATGATCCTTTAATTGCTGACCTTGCATTTAATTCACATTCAAGAAATTCCCCCATGTCGTTTTAAAAGAAAATTGTGCAGAGATTAATTAAATAAATGATTATGGTTAACAAACCATTAAAGTTTAATTAGAAAAAAAAACTAACGGGTTTGATGTTATTACTGGATGGTCTGTTTTTCTTGTGTATCATATTGTATTGTGGTATTACCCAAAGTATGGTATAAAATTATATCTTTAGGTACCAACCACATAAAAATAATTATAATTAATAAATACTACTCCGTATACAATACACACTATAAATTATATGTATAATATAAAATAATTGATTCATGAACTCATATAGTCGTTTTTATATATCGACCGTAATACTAGACAAGTGAGGAAAAAACTGTAATGCAAATAATATAAAAATAATGCTCTTTAAGGCCATTAATCGATTAATCGTAATCGTGACGGGCACGATATCGCCTTTACTGTATATTTGTATTTTATTGGAAAAATCAATGAAAGAAATATTATATTTATTTCATCCTCAACTTTGTTTTTACAAAGTATTATTTACTTACTACAGGAAGACAATTTTATTTATGGTAGGAATATTATTGTCGATTGAATAGAAGACCTTAGTTTCTTTCGACAGTTATATTATTTGGTGTAATTCCATTGAAATATATTTTTTTTAAACGATGAACGTATTAATCCAATGACACGTGCCTAACTGAAATTGCATTATTTAAAAATACAAATTAACAATTATTTATAATGTTACTGAATTCACTGATTCACTGTATTCTAAATTAAAAATGGCAGTGTATTAATAAATTTGTTAATAATTATAAAAATATATTTTATGATTTACTTTTATAATTTCACAGTTTTAAACAGTAAGTTCATGATATGATTGACTATATTTTTTTATAATTATTATTTGAAATAAGGCTTCAATAGCAATGGATTTTAGTTTGTCTTATTTTTACACAAACATAGTATTCCTTAAAACTATGTGTTACATTTAGTTAACTGATTTGGTTTACACCTATTTACAATATTTAATAATATTTGTTAAATTTAAGAATGTAGTTATTTTCAAAGTTTTGTTCTCGTCGATTGATTTTTCAATATTATATGGAATTTTAAGGTATATAGTGTGCATACCTACAGTGTGTGATTTATTTTAAATATTTGGTTGTCTGTTCCGCAGATTAATTGAGGCTTTTGGCTGTTTAAAAATGAGTGTATGAGTAAGGAGTGTCCAATTCTAACTCGAGTGATTGCTATGTCTTGACGTATATTGAGGTATGAAGGGGTGTGCTATTTTTCGATTGTTATTTAATGCTTTTAAGTTAGTAGAGTAGATATTTGGTATTGAACACCAGTAATTCTGCCAAGATAAAATGGTTATTTATGTTGTTTATTATAGGATTGAGAATTTTTTTCGTTGCGAAATCGGCATATTTGTCTGTTTGTTTATTCTCTTTAATACCAATGTGAGAAGATTCCCTCATAACTTTAATATTTTTTTTTGTTGATTTGTATTAATGTTGCTTGAATATTTTGGGTTAGGTATTTTATTGTTCGTGGATAATTTTTTTAGATCTGATAAAGCACTAATAGAGTCACTGCTTACAGTAGATATTTATAGCAATTATCACTGGGCAACATTAAAAAAAAAAAAAATGTACACACGTCATAATCAAAATCAATATATGCACCTAAAAAATACTTTTTAGAATTAAATATAAAAACTTTACTTATATCTAACAATACAATCAAAACTCAGTGTACATAAACAAGTACAAATAATTTATGTGTTAAACTTACTCTATTTAGTTAAAAAAAGGAATCAATAATATACAGTACCTATACATTTTGTTATAAAAGTTTTTTAAATTGTTTTTAAAATGATAGATAATTATAACATTTTTTGTTTCGTTTTTGTCGAAGTCGATAAGTTCGGTATATAGTTTTAGTTCTCATTTCCAAGGTGCTAAAACTCAAAACTAAATTCAATTAAAAACTGTTGTGTGGATGTCCATTGATTGTTAAAGTTTGTTAAATATTTTGCGTATCGATGAGGATTTATAGTGTTCTGGGTTTATTGGAGATAAGACGTGTTTGTTGAAAATGGTTTTGTATTTTTTTATTCTATGTAGTTGGTCCTTTTGAGAATGCAGTTTAGTGCGTCTTAGTCTCTTTGAAGTTAAAGAGAAATTTCACCGACATAGTTTAGAATGCTGTAGATTGAGCTTGTTATGAATGCGCCAATAGCTAATCGGATTCCTTCATTGTGGATAGGGTCAGGTATCTTGAGGAGGTTTGGTTTAGCTGTATTGTATATTTGAGATCCGTATCTGATTTTGGACAAAATAAGAGATTAGTATATAATGAGTGACTTTTGGTTTACTCCCCAGGTGCGGTGGGATAAAGTTTGATTGTACTAATGTTAGGTTTACAGATACTTTTAAGTTGTTTTAAATAAGATGTACATTTAAGGTTGTCATAAAAATGACAAAGCATTGACTTATGGCAAGAGAAAATTTAAATCCGGTTTCTTTGTACCCGTTTTGGAAGATTTGTAGTAATGTTTAACGTGGTTTCTATGATATTCCCATTGCAATAGATATAGCAATCGTCGGCGAACACGACATGTTTTGTTGGACAAGGTATTTTGTCGAAGATGTTGATTATTACAATTATGAACATAGTGACACTTGTAACTAATTCTTGACTGATTAAAAATAGAAAAAAACTAAACCAAAATAACACTTGTAATATAAAGCTATTTGGTCACTCTTAAAGAATAAAATTATATATTTTTAATCTTTACCATTGATAATATAACATAACAATATGTGCTGAAATAAATTTTAAGCTATATCAACATTTAAAGATTTACTTAATTTTACTAGTAGCTAATAACAATCATTCAAATCTTCAAAATAAAACTTTATTATAAATAATATGCAATGGCATTAAAAAAAAAAAACAATTATAATTTTATTCTGTAGTTTTACTGTAAATATAAATGAACTAAATACGTTTGATTTATAATTTATTTGTAATCTTAGAATGTGAAAGTAAGTTAATTGACTTAAAATTAGTAATTTCTTTAATCTAATAAATAATATAATCTCATTTTATTGTTTCTATGATAGTTAACCATATAAAATAACAGACCATCTAAATTTACAAAACATTTCATCAATCAATCATTTAATTATGAATATAATAATTGACTATTTCAAGTATTTTTTTAAGTACAATAAAATATGCTTTTGTATAAGCTGTCATAAAAGGCTCACTTTATATTTAAGCATTATTTGTAATTCATATCATTGTATAATATAAATTATAATTATCTAATAAAAAATTTGATGACAACCTATTTTAACTGTAATCAAATTTAATTCCAAACATAATAAATTACTTCAGTTTAACATTTTAATTAATTATAGTGATATTATTATAGTTATGCATTATCTTGTTCAAACTTAATTATAATATATTAGGAACTGAATAATAAATGTTTAACAATTATTGTTAAGAATATCCTTCATGAAAATAGCATAAAAACGTTTTTGTATTGACATTATTTTTTTCAAATTTTAAATTTATATACAGAAGAAATTACATACTGGTTTTTTAGTAAGTGTATAATTATTTAACGAAAATACATATTCAGATAATCTTTCAATCGGCTTTTATAATAAGTATATAATGATGCTAAAAATTGTTAAACGATAATAGTAAACACTTGGTTTCTCTGTAAAAACAAAAGATATTTATTATTTATTAATTACATTTTACAAATAATAACAAATTTACCTGTAAAAACAAAAGAAACAAAAATTTATGTTATTATTGTCACTTATTAACAATTAAAAAAAAAAAACAATATTAATATCGATTTGCTTGAATAAAAATCTTAAAAAAAGCCTTATCACTTTATCATCTTATCAATGTTTGATGATAATAATAGTTATAATAATTATAATAATATTTAAAAAAAAGTATTTTCTTTACAAGTATATAATTATTTAACGAAAATACACATTCTTGAAATTAGAAGTCCGTATGGGACATTAAGATTCGTGACAGGTCAAAATTTAACTAATTTTATTTGTATAAATTTATATAGGTTATAATATGCTAGCTTCCCTAGTTAAAATAGCGTAATATGTAAATATGTTAAAGATCACTGTAATATATCAGAAAAAAAAAATTAAAACACTACTTATAAAATGTAAAAAAGCGGACAAGTGAGTACCGCTCTGCTATACATTAGGGGACTAGGTTAGGTTAAATTTGAATGCAATTATAGGTACCATTGTATACGAAAAACGATTCTGAACGAAAATGATTTGTTAGTCTAGGATATATTATACTTAAATATTGTCATACATTCTATTTTGAAACAAATATTTTATTTTTCAATTAGGACGCATTTATAAAAGTAATTTTTTAATCAATTAATTATTAATTTTTATGAATTATACCTACAAAATAGTTTGCATATATTCATGGTTTTGACAAATTTTTGTCAATATTTAGACTTCAAATGCTAATAAAAAAAATTGTTCTTATGTATGTTTAAAATTTTTTGATCACTATAAGAATAACTTATGAGTAACTTTGTATTAAATTTTCAAATATTTTTATTGGGACAAAAAAATTTTATCGACACTTCAAAAAAAAATTTTCAGAAAAATTGAAAATTTCAGTTGTCTATAAATAGCTCAAAAAAAGTCAAAATATTTTGAAAATTAAATCATATAAAAAAAATGCCAATCTAAATAACTGGTAACATTTTCAAGTGTCTACGAATTATACTTTTTGAATATTAATAAATATTTAAAATCGTTTGAGGATAAATCATTATCGTTACGATTATTAATTTTTTTTAGTTAAAATAAGAAAAACTCATAAGGAACCTTGTAATAAATTTTCAAAAATTTTTGGTCATCCAAATTTTTTTTATCGACACATCAAAAAAAAATTCTCATAAAAATCTGTAACTCAGTGATCTATATATAACTTAAAAAAGTCAAAATTTTTTGAAAGTTAACTGTATATAGATAACACAAACATAAACATTTGGTAAAAATTTCAAGTATTTACAGTGATAAGTTTTTGAATTACAACCGTATTAAAAAATCGATTTGTTCGAAAACTGGTTTTGCATAAATATTCCCGTTTCACCGTCACTTTATTTTTGTTTTTCTCGATATTTTTGAAAACTGTTTGAAAATGTTTACTTTTTACCTTTATAATGCACCAAGGATATTCAAATTGCCATCCGAAACCACCATCGAAGTTTAAAATTGAAGCATTATTTCAACTACTTATGCTGTACACGAAAACAAAAAAAAAAAAAACACATTATTGTAAAATCAATACATTCATCACTCCGTTCAGAATATAAATTGAAAACCTTTTTGTTGTAGGTAGTAATATCATAAATATTATTTTTTTATTGACAGTTAATGAATATATGAATATCATAAAATCATATGCATTGAGTAAGAAAACTAATACACTATATTTTTTTGAATCATTTTATTATACTGATGGACTTTTACTAAGATATTATTAGTAAAACTTAGATTATGAAAAATATAAATAGATCAAATGCATTTTATTCTTTGAAATTTAAAATAAAAAATAAAAGATACAATTAATAATATATTAATTTAATTTAATCTGATGTGATATTTAATATTTTCTATAATTTTAATTTAATAAAAATAAAAGTTTTTAATATAATTTTATAATTTACGTAACTCGTATTTATATGATATTCTTTAGTGTATTGAAACTGAAACTTAAGATACATAATTTATATACAATAATTTTCATTCGTCGTCAACGTATTAATTTGTACATATTATACATTTATTGCACACTACTATCTTTAAGCTGACTTGGCACGT